TTAGATGACGGATCTGCTGGATGTCTCTCAGAACCACTAGCAATCTTAACATGAAAGTGGCAGTTGGCATACATGCTATTAAACTGAACTGGACTGGTTCACCAACCTTCCATCTACTTGGGTCGAAGGTGAGTGGATCCTCGTATATCTCAGGGTTCAGATGCACTGCTGGAGGACACACCATGATTCGCCATCCTGCAGGAATTGTGTATCCTGTAGCAAAACCAGAGTCTGGGTTTTGAGACCTCGAGATCAACAAGTGTGGATCAGAAGAGATTTATGTTACAGTAGATATCGACCGACCATTAAACTGGATGTCCTTCAGTGCTTTTCTGAAGATCCCTGGCGCTATATTTGCCAACCTCGCTGTTTCATTGATAACCTTCGGCAGGATAAAGAACCCATTGATTTATTAGTTCATGTCATACATTTTCTCCTCGATTTCTGAGGTCAAAAGCTCACCTGAAATGTGAATGTCATTGATCTGTACTCCATCCATGTCACTCCTGTCATTGGGTCCTCTCGGTTCTTTAGTATTGTGTCATGCTCTTCCTGCAAATGTGATTCTATGATCAAAAAGATAGCCGGTCTAATTTGTCGATCTCTGTGGGTACAGTACGTGCATGAAACGTACTGTCAATTTCTCCAGTACATTTGGGTGGTCCGTGAGAAACTTGATGGCCAGCGTGAGGGCCAGAGATGTGGTCTCGAAGCTCGCGAAGAGCAGCGCAAACATCAAATCCAGAGCAATGGTCTCCGTTATCAATGATCTTTCTTTGTTCAGCTCTTCAATGACACAGTCGAAGAAATCTCCATGTTGTTTCCATGGAGAATTCCGCCTTTCTTTAAGCATATTTTTCAGCACTTTCAATACGTTCTTCCTTCCCTGAACATGTCAAGAGAATCCATACTCATTTCCAGACACTGGAATCAAACAAAGAAAGGAAAGTGGTCGATTACCTGCATACACCGGTGATAAGCTGTGCCTGGGAGATCCACCGGATACGAGATCAGTCCTCGTAGGAAGGCCACAAAATTTTTCCTCAAACTCTCAGATGAAGACGAAGATTCGTAGCTAATCAACTTCTTGGCAGTGAGATCAAATATCATCTGTGAACAGTTGGGTGAGGTAATCAGAAACTGGCAGAAATGTATCTACAAGAAAAAAGGTTACATTTGACGTGGCTTCCTTCAGCTCGATGCTCGACAGACGCGACCACGAGGAGAGATTGGCGCATGCTGCCGTCTCCACATCACGAAGCAGCAGCTCTTTGAGGGACTCGGGACCGAAGAGCTTGAGAACCAAGCTCTTGAGGTACTTGTACATGAATCCATGCAAGGAGCTCACGTTGCTGCGGCCAAAGATCTCGGTGAAGGTCTCAGGGTACCAGCTCTCGAACAGCCTCCCCTCTTGTTGGAAGACGAAGTGGTTGAGCTCCGGGTCGGTGGACACAACCACAGGCAGGCCGACCAAGCTGGTTCTGAACACTGGCCCGTACCTGAAGTGCATCCATCAAATGTGTAAAGAGACAAGAAGTAGTGCAAGAGTGATGACGCTTTGATTTGATTCTACGTGCCTCTTTATCCTGTTCTTGATGAAGGGAGAGACATCGAAAGTGGTGTTCGGTGAGAAGAACTGCATGGTCTCGCCAAGCAGAGGCAAACCCATGGAGCCAGGCGGAAGGTTTCCGGTGCTGCACCTTGGGTTCCTCCATCTGTAAACCCAGTGAACCGCCAGTACGACCACCGACACTGCACTGAACATGGCAACCAGGAATGCCATATGCATAGCTGAAGTGTAAGAGTGGAGGATGAGGATAAGGTGTTGGCTTCGGCAGAACTTCGAGGAAATGAAAAAGATAGTACAATGATTGAGGAATACTTTCGATCTGTGCTACCTTAAGTCATTCATGAATGCTTATTTATATTAATTCAAACTTTCTCATCCTTATTTATAAATCTCTTCATCCTAATCTAAATTCTTATCTTGAGATCGAATAAAAGTCTAAATTTTTTTGTGGTATCTAATCATAACTATTGGGTGGGGTATGTTGTTTGTTTAACTGAGAATGAATGAGTCTATCTTTTGTTATATCATATCATTAATTATTAGGAGGGGGTAGAGGGGATTGTTTTGTTAATAAGTTAAAATATATTTTATAAGAATATAAATTAATATTTTACCTTTTAAATAAGATTAGATAGATTTACAAGGATAAGAAATTCTTAGTTTAAAAAAGTTAAAATATATTTTGAAAGATTTCAAATTGATATATTATCTTTTAAATAAGATTAGATAGAGTTGTAGAGATTATAGATTCTTGTATTTCACATGTTAAATAGGTGACATCTACATATTTAGATCAATTCAAGCCTTAAGTATTCAAGTCATGTACGAGTCATTTAAGATATATAAGATTTTTTTTTTTTGAGAAGTTCAATAAAATTTTTCATTTCCGCCTTAGTTTCTATTTCTTCTATTTGGTTTGATCTTAGGCTAGTAATAATTTGTTACTACTATTTGAGAAAAGATTACACTTGCATGTGATCCTCTCTTTCTTCACATAGTATCAGAGTTACAAGGGTGATAATCTATATTTCAAAATCTCCTTGGTGAAGAAGATAATCTTTTGTAATAATAAAAATTATAGTCGAATTGATAGATTTAGTATTGAACTTGTCGATCAGCCTAACTATAAGATCTAAAAGACTTGTTTGGAGTCTTATCTCTTAAGGGAAGATTTATGGGATGTGGTTGGTGGTAATGCAATAACAACATTAGATAATACAAATGGAGATGCCATGAAGAGATGGAAGATTTTAAATGTAAAAGCTGAATTTTTATTGCTCAATAAAAAGAACATCATTCGACTTTAGTATTTGGAAAATGATTTAACAAATACTATCTCTCAATTTTTCATTATTTTTTGAAGATTAAACATTTATATTCAAATACATTACTTTTAGATCCAAATGAGACTATTTCTGATACACGAATAAGACGTTATATTGTTTGTGATCTTTGAAAATAATATATTCCTTATATTACATCTATTGAGGGATGGGTTCAACAACCATCTTGGGTAGAGTCGAAAATTCTTTTTGCTTCTTAGGAATCCTTAGCTCATTAAAGGGAGTTTCTATTTCAATGAGAGATGAAGATACATTTTTAACAAATAAAAAAAATGATAATAATAATAATGATAAAGAGTTCTTTTTAAACAATAATGTAAATCTGAAGAAGATCAAGTATTATAGGTGTGATAAGTTAGGCCATATCAAGAATATAATGATTAAATGTGAAAATATTACAAATAAAGAAGATTGTTCTAATGTTACTATTGAAGATTAGGGCAAATACTTTTTAACTGAAATTATTGAGGCCATGACATCTATCAATTTTGAAAATAATTGGATTATTGATTCAAGATATGGTCTTCGTCTCACTGGAGATGGTACCAAATTCATCAATCTTTATCAATATAAATATAATAATATAATTATTATGATAGATAATATTATTCATCAAGTGAAAAAGAAAGGCACTATCATAATATCAGCTGAAGACAATGATCCTATTATATTGAAGAGTGTTTACCATATTCCAAGTATGAAGAAAAATCTCTTCTCTATTGCAAATACAATTGATGCTAGAAATTATATTCTTTTTTATCCTAATAAAGTTAAGTTTCTTCATAATATAAAAGAATTAAATGCATATGTAGTATATATCGATAAAATAGTGAAAGATTTATATATTTCATTAGCATCAACCTCTTATATTGATAAGATGAGTACAAATGATGGTGCATTAATCTAGCATGCTAGACTTGGTCATATAAATTTTCTTAAATTAAATATTATGATGTAGAAAAGCTTAGTGAACAGTCTTTCCAATCTTACTATTAATAATAATGAAGTTTGTGAAGATTATATGACAAAGCACTTAGTGAATAGTCTTTCTAATCTTACTACTTTTAATAGCAATGAAGTTTGTGAAGATTATCAATATGATAAGCACACAGGGAACCTTTTGATAGATTACTCTCAAGATGTAAATTCCCCATCGAGCTTATTCATAGCGATCTAAGAGGCCCTACTCAAACACTATCTTATTCATGTTCTCATTGTTTGCTTCTCTCTATTGATGATTTTATAATATTCACTTGGGTTTATTTTGTGAAAGAAAAATCATAAGTTTTTTCAAAATTTCAAGAGTTCAAGTCAAAATTTCAAAGAGTTGAAAGTGCTCTTGAAAGAAAAATTAAAAGATTGTGCATGGATAACGATAAAGAGTTCACTAATAGATTCTTCTCTTTTTGTAAAAAGTATGGTATTAAAAGGGATTTTACATGTATAAATACATCACAATAAAATGGTGTAGCTAAATGAAAGATTCGACATCTCTTGGAGACTTATAAGTGTTGGCTTCATGCAAAGAATTTATATAAAGTCTTATGGGCAGAAAGTATGACATATGCAACTTATATTATTAATCGAACTTTTGTTAGTCTAATCAATCTGAAGTCTCTATATGAGCTCATGTTGGGTAAAAAACCAAATGTTAAACATTTCAGAATATTTAGTTCTCCATGCTATATTCATATACCAGAGAAGCAAGCTTGATATTAAGGCCAAGAAATGCATCTTTATTGGCTATGATAAAAGGAAGAAAGGTTAGAAATATATAGATACACAAACACAGGTATATAGTATCTCGAGATGTTGTGTTTGATAAAGTTTCTTGTTATTATCTTTCATAAGTATTTCTTTTGAAAATATCAATTACAATAATGAAAGTGATATATATTTAATCATCTCCTTCCTTATTTATATCTACTCATGTTATTTCTTCGTCACCAATAATAGAGCAAAGTGATAAGGGGAGTTATAATTTTCACAAAGAGAAAATTTTAATATTGAAAAGATAAAAATAATAATTATCAAACTAGCAGAGATGGGGACCACGTAAACATATGTCACTGTTTCATTTCTTAATCAACTAATGATCTTGAGCCTACTTGTTTTGATGAAGCTTAAGGTATAAGAGGATTCCATGAATAAAGAAATGATTGTTATTCATAAAAATGAAACTTGGGATATTATGTCAAGGCTTCTGTAAGGAATTTGGTACTATTTCTAATTTGCACAAGCCTAATTTTGAATTCGACCATCATATAGATGTTGTGCCTTCTGTATAAAGTCCAGCTACAGATTTCAATGGTCTTTCATTTAGTAAGTTTAGATCAGACTATGAGCCAAGAGGTATTCTCGATGGTCCTAAAAGTTTTCGAATGAAGCAATTTGATTCAGATAGATTTCCAAATAGTATAAAAAAGGATGGTAATATTCATATGCACCCTGGAGAATATTTTGATCAAGATCATATTTCTATAGGTGATCCAAAACTCTACAAATCAAGTCAGGACTTATATATAAAATTATACTTTAAGAGGGAGTGTTAAGAAGTTAAAGTATATTTTGAAAGATCATAAAATTAATATTTTATCTTTTAAATAAGATTAGATAGATTTGTAAGGATAAAAAAATCTTAATTTAAAAAATCAAAATATATTTAGGAAGATTTCAAATTAATATTTTATCTTTCAAATAAGATTAGATAGAGTCATACAGAGATCAATTCAAGTAAAATAAAATCTAAGAGTTGTTTAAAATATATAAGTATTATTCTTTCTGAGAAGCTCAATAAAGTTTATCATCTTGAGTTTTTTTTTCTATTTGATTTAATCTTGGACTAATAGTATCTTCTTACTATTATTTGAGAACATGTTACACGTGATCCTTTCTTCAACTACTGTAGAACATGAAGTTGTCTTTCTTCAATTATTTTTGTCGCATCAAATGATAACTATTGAGAGGCAGCGAGGGGGTTGTTCAAATATTCCAAGCATGAAAAAGTCCTTTCTTCAACTATTGTAGAGTACCTCCACCACAGTAAAAGTACTTTCTTCAACTATTGTAGAGTACTCTATCTAATCATAATTATTGGGGGTAGGGAGTGGGTAGTTCAAATGCTACTGTAGTAGTCTTCTGTTGCATCTAATAATAATTATTGAGGTGGGGAGAGGGTTGTCCAAATACTGGAGTTGCTATTTACTGGGGTGTCGGTGGGTTTTCCAAACTGTTCATTTAAGTCGGTTCCTATATAGGGATATTTCTTCTGCTTCCCTAAGCTAGCAAATAATTTGGATCATGTGCATTCAACAACAACAAGGAAAATTGTGTCGCCTCATGGATTAAAGATGAAGTAAGCCATTTGAACTCTCTTTCTTTCTAATCAGTTTTGCCCTATTTTGATCCCTACATTTGATCTGACATCAACAACAATCTGATAAAGTTTGATGCTTTTATACTTCCCAGTGATGCCTCGGAACTTCTACAGATTTTGCTTTTCTGTTTGACTGTGGATAATGATTGCTTCAGTCCTACCATGTTTTTGTTCTGATGATACCAACAGGACTCAACATCAGACCTATAAGTTTTATGTTTTTGTTCCAATGTTAACAGGACAGGAAATCAATTCCCTGATAATCCCAACAAATCAGCTGCCTCATATCTCAAATCCGCTGCATAGTTTTTTTTTTATCATCACTGATAACTGTACAGAACTTAAATGAAAAGAATTTCAATCATTGTTATATAATTTATCGTAAAATCTTCTTAGGTATCCCACTGAATATTCATTCCTTGCACCATTAATATTAATTATATTGTCCCTTTTAACTATCTATCATTTTTCTTCATTTTATCTTCTATCTATCAAATCTACACAATTGTTCATGAATATGTTGATAATACTTGATTGAAAA